CAGCTCTTGCTGTCAAGGTATTTTCAGTTAAATGAGTATATTTCCAAGATAGCACTTCTTTTCATAGAATTATGTTTTGATTAGGAATATCGACAGACATCAAAGCCGTGTTTGTGTTGAGATTCTCCAGCGGTTTATATTTTCACCTCAATTTGATCCTCTATCGGTATTTCGTAAGAAATGACTACTTTGTTCATTAACCGTTTTGGGGGTGTTTTCTTGACTTTTCAACCAAAATCGTGTCGGTGAACAACTCTTAATTTGAAATTTTAGGAAACACTAATTGTTCTAAATTTAGCCTCGAACTATGTAATGCATTCTTAATTCGCCTCCCCTGAGTTTTCCGATCACGTCCGTAGTTAATTTATGGAAACGTTTTAGCCAATCATTTTTAGACAAGAAGCTTCATCCCTCTGCAAAATCGACAACCAGCCAGGATTTCCAAAATGTAATTTTGGTACCTTCCTCTCTGTTCTTATGAAAAGTTTGTATGTAATCAGATAACTTGTAGTTTTTATAATGCTCTCCTTGTTTGGTGTTGGCCAGATGACCTGAGCTTAACGATGAAAACTTCGACAGAAAAACGATTTTATCAAAGTAATTATCTGAAAGGTTTTAATAATTAGTCTGTTTTAACCAATCCGAGAAGACTTATGCCAGCATTAATTTGCACCAAGGAGCTGATTTTCTGGCTGATTTAAAAATGGGTGTAGCACTTAATATTTAGAACAGAACTGAAGCAACGCAAGACATAGAGAAGGAGAGAAGGAGAGATTTTTCCCTGCAAATACGATTATCAAGTAAGTGAAGTAAGCAGTTGTCTTTGTTGAAGGGCAAGCTAAAACCAGTTGCAAAAATACTTGTCTATGAGACACTGTACCGTATTTTGGCTTAAATGGCCTGCCTACGATCTTGTGCCTGTGATCCCCCTTCCTGCCCTTATCAAAGTTGCTAGCAATACAAGACCATGCTCAAAACATGGAGGAACAGCTGTGAATGGATGGGAGGAGGGAGGTCAGTATTATATCTCCCAGACCTGTGACTAGCAGCGGTTTGAAGCAAGAAAGTGGAGTGTCTCAACATTTCAACTGGTCGTCTGAGTCCTTCATACCACTATAGCCGTGGTGCCCAATTTTAGTCATACCACTATAGCCACTATAGCCAATTCATACCACTATAGCCGTGCTGCCCAATTATAATAAACAGGATGAAATGCGGTGTACTTTTTGCACCTAAGGAGGTGGGTATAAAAAGCAGTATTTCATTTTCCTAGGTTTGCGTGAGTTTAAAATGGCCAGACTAAAACCGGCAGTTTTTGTCACTTTTGTAATTGTGGTAATTTGCAGGAAATGGGCTTTGATTTGAAGGATTGAAGCGCGTGGCAAAAGATGCCACACCATCTTAAGTAAGCTGCAACGAAAGGGCTTTTTTGTCCCAAAACGCTACAAAGATGCGAAAAATGATATACCTTTTTCGAACTCGGGTAAAAGACGTTTATTTAAGAAAGGAAAGTGACCTAAGATGCCTCTCTAGATCAAGGAGATAGCTTTTTGCTGTTTTTTTTTCCGATAAGTACGAGGAGATGTTTCCTTTTTAATCGCCTGCCATTTACAGGAAAGAAAAGTTGCGCTAAAAAGCACCTGTTGTCAACTTTACTCTACCTGCAGATCGAAACTTACAAAGATTAGACTGAAACACTACACGTCACGATTTTAAATACATAGATCATTTTAGCGGTCCACATACACATTGCAATTGACTTAAATTCCAAATGTTTATGTTACTAAAGGTGAGTGGTTTTGCTGTTATATGAAATACACATTTTGTTTACAAACAACATAGAAAATAACTGACTTGCTTTTTTTTTGGCACGGCCGTCCACATTTCCATAAGGCCATTTTGCCGTTTAGCCATTTTTAGTACTTTTTTGGTCTGCATACATGAGGAACTTGTAGAAAGAACTGAAACCGCTGCTCTTGCATATGTTGGGGTATTTTTGTCGAGCAAAGCAGCACAAGCACTCACAAGCAAAGTATTGAGTTTCGTGGCATTTTTGTAGTACCTATAACTGTAAGTGACACATGAACATTTGCTATAGTTTTCAGATGATGTTTCTTAACCAGTCCAGGGATATTTTATTTAAAAGCGATATCCATAAAGAAATGCCAAAAAGAGTAGCCGGTCGGTACTAACCAAGTAGGCAGCGATGTCCCGACAAATTATAGAAGGAGGCCGTAGAGATCCCTAGAAAGCCCGCGAAAGTATAAGGTGAAGCCCGCCAAAATTAGAAAGATTACGTGGCACGCCAGCAACGCAATTTAAGAATATTACGAAAAATTGTATTCTGGAAGGTTCGCGAGAGTTCATAGTTTGTCTATTTTAGGATCTTGTGTAGGCGTTTCTAAAGTAGTATATTTGGCAATCTCCCTATAATTAGACTATTTGGAAAGTTCTAGAATGTTATTGTGAAAGTATATAAGTAGGCGAGTCCGAGTTAAGTTTTAACTAGTTTTCACAAGCGAAGAGAGTTTGACGTTAGTCGTGTTTAGTTAAGTGTGACGAAAGCAGTGTTTACTCAAGTTGGCGAAGGCCGTGTAAGTTTATCGAGTTACGTGCTGTTGTGGAGTTTTACTCAGTGGAAACAACGTTCATTTTTGGGAATAAATCTTCTTGTTGATGTTCCGACAACCCTGCGTTCATTTTGGTTTACAAGCTACCCGTCCTCTAAAAGATTTCCCGGGTAACAAACAATACACAGTGTAAAGCATAGAAAACAGATGATTCCCATTCGTATTTCAATTATTGAAGATAGTGCTTAATTCTAAATATTTTAAACCGAATTTTTTTTATCTAGGGATTTCCTCGAGGTAAAGAAATCCATTTTAGTAAGAATTATTGAAGATAGCCTTTGAGACTAAATATTTTAAACCGAGCTGTTTTTATATGTAGGGTTTTCCTTTTCCTCCTCATGCCGCAAGTCCAGACTTTTAAGGTGATGATTCCCATTTGTCAGGTGATTTGTGGTACAATTATTGAAAACAGCGCTTAATTCTAAATACTTTAAAGCAATGAGATTTTATATGTAGAGATGGTCTCTCCCTATTCGGTCTTCAGGCGCACACCCAGACTTCTGAGGTGACAATATCCATTTGTAGTTGTCACGAATGAATAAAGAAAGCGCTTAATTCTAAATATTTTAAATCAAAGAGATTTTATATGTAGAGATGTCGTCTCCCTCTTCGGTCTTCAGGCGCCACGCCCAGACTTCTTGATGAAATCCATTTGAGCCAGAACTACTACTTGCTGTAAAGATTCCGAGCTTAAAACCATCCTTTTAAGCAAGAAAATGTTGTATTCGTTAGACGAGGCCCGTATTGTGATAAATTCTGTTTGAAACAGTTGTTTTAACGTTTTAAGCTGAGCCAAAGTAGCGAGAGAGCACCCTTTATAGCCCTGTCTACTCCCGATATCAGCTAAATCATGCGGAAATCGAATTGCGAATCCACAGCACCGAGGAAGCCTTTTTAAAAGCCATGAGAGGAAAATCAGGTAACATATTTGTCCTTTGTGATTGTAGTAGAGTTTTTGAATTGACCGTAGTATTAATTTCCTTGTGATGATAGTCCATATCTGCTAGGAAGCTGAGCGCTTTCAATACGACAGGAAGTTTTGTTTCACCTTTCCTCAAGAGTCAAACGAAACAAAATTACATAAGACCTATTGCAAGTGTTTTCCTGCAAAAACTTTAGCTTTATAAGGGCAGAAGAGTCCAGAAATGCAGTGAAAATAGCTGTGGTCTTGTGTTTAGCGAGTTAACAATGCAAATTGATTTTCTTGCTTTTATGACAGGAAAATCACGCCAAGTAATTCTGCCTCGCGAGATGATATAATATTAATGTTCTTTTACTGTTTTATTTCCTACGAGTAAGCTATTTTACTGTTAGATCAATGAAATAATAAGCTTTATTCTTATCAATCTTTTAAAAATATATACAATGGATTTACATATACTAGAAAATGCTATCAAGTGATTATTCTAATAAAAAAAAGTAAGTAAAAATAACAGATCATAAAAGTAGTCTTGCAGCTCTTGGTATAAATGAATTTGCATGTCTTTGCGTTCCTGACTTCGGTATTGCTACTGAACCTGGTTTGGATCTTAAGTTACAGCCGTGGCTGGTATTTGGCTCAGTGAGAAAAATTTGTTTTGGATGGTTAATATCATTCACAATTCATGCGATTAATTATAAAACTTTTCTTCCCATTTTCCCCATCTTTGCAGACATTATCCGCTTCTCCTTTCTTAGTGGGAATCAATTAAAAAAAAGAATATTCAAAGCTCTTTGTCTTCACACGTCTACCACCATTTTTGAATGTGGCGCGCTTTTGTAACTCGAATCCTCGAGTAACTAGAAATGTCGGTCTGTATTTAAAAAACAAGTACCTAGGAAGAATGTTTAGGAAGTAAATCGACCAAGTGAAGAAATGGTTTCACAACGGGAGAGGAGTCGACCAAGAAATATTCTCACCTTTGCTGCAGGCTTATCAAATAGAGTGCTTATGTACGTAGTTGACAGCATACTTAATTATAATCACCCCAAATATATCATGATGTCTGAGAAATGATACAGAAATTCATTAATGATGACGAGTCACTAACTAGATCTGGGTAGTGATGTGTTATCAGTATGGAATTTCTGGCTCAATCCTCAGACATCATTTCGCAGGGAAAACAGTCGTATCGTCGCAAAATGTTGGTGTCGGCTACAGGCTAAACTACTACTAACTGGTTACTACTGCAAATCTCGCATATAAGTATTCATCTAGAAAGCAAACAGACAAGAACAGACCTCCAATTCTTTCACGTAATGCAATTCCTTGCCAAGAAAACAAACAGCTTACTTTCTTAGTGACCTTGGAGACAATCAAAGTTAGTCCTGTAAACGATTTTTGTGATCAATGCTTCCAGCCACCTCAGTATCTTGTTTGTAATACCACAGACCCGTGTTACAAAAGAATATAAAACATGCGTGTTTCCATCTAGAGTCAACGCTTTCCCCAATCAATCCATTGGCAAACCTAATCTGAATAAAGAATTCAAGATGAATCTTCATTCAATTTGCGTGGTGCTGATGATCTTCTCCTTTACTGAAACTCATGCGGACGTCATTCCCGTGGAGGAACTGGACATCACCAAGTATTTGGGTCTGTGGTATGAGGTAAGCTAAGTTCTATTAAACATCACTGTAGAGTTAAAAGCAAAGGAAACCGCTAAATTTAGTTTTAAAAGAGTGAAAATGATTTCATACTCCTTGTTTGAAAAGCCCTTTCAAAAGTTTAGTCGGCAATCCTGATAAAGGGACAAGATTTTGCAGAGCAAGGATTATTTCTTTCTTTCCCTGAACAGGTTTCATGAGCTTTTTAGCAAACTTTCTTTATCTGAGTCGACATAGCGGTTCATATCACAGGTCAGAAACTCGGGAGCCCGAGAATCACATCTAAGATAAAATTCTGCGAAAGGACGTTTCTTGCAAGGGCAGGAGGAAATCCGTTGCACAAAAGGCTTCTAAAGAGACTGCGCTAGCTGTTAGCCGCGAAATTAGCTTCGTGGCAATCAAAAGCATGAATATTAACGTTCCGTCAGGTCTGATCGCGATCCCATCATCGTCTTGTCAAGGGTCTTTACGTTTGGTTTTCTTCATCTCTCTGTTTAGCAAGTTCAGTACATGGTATGGAGTAATTTCTAAATTGTAGTTATGGAAGTGGGAAAGTGGTTTTCGTTTGGTTTGTTTGTATTTTATAATATAATGTAGATGATGAACGTGTCAATACTATGTCACTAGTTTGCATCAAACCAAAATTGCCTTGCGTTCCCATCCAAATGGGTAATCCTCATTTCTGGCTACGAGGATAGTCCGGCGTAATTCAGTGTTGAGATCCAGTAGGAAGTTTAAGGAAAGACAACGGGAACACCACCAAAACAATAGGTTTAACATGATGAAAACAAAATCGTGCTACACGATTGCCGTCTTCAGCAAAACAACAACATGAAATGAAGAAATTCAAGGTTCTGTGGACAACGTGAGCCCACGACGGTAAATCTTTCACTCTCTATCTTTACTTCAACTTCGTTCCTACCAATTTAGTCAAGGGCTACTTCGCCCTCACTTTACAACGTGAACGGGACGGAATAATCGCGAAGCAGTTCGTCGATGCTTAAACACCCTGCTAAATAGTCACCGTTTTCTCTCATTTCTAGGGCGTTTAATTTATGGAAGACTTGTCCTGCTTCTAGGTTCGGTGTATTGTTCAGTATCATTAACTTACACTCGGTGTTTCTCATATGATTCAGATGTACTACAATCAATTTGCTGCGAACGTTCAAGGCAGTGATATATATTGCACAACAGCACGATGTAAGTATAACTGATTTCGGTCAGTATTATTTCAGTCCTATTTTCCGTCAGTTTATACAGGGATACAACTACAGTCGGTTACACGGAATTTCCTGGATAAAACGGAACAAGCTCTGCATTCATTTGTTTTTCCCCTTACACTTCTCTGTTTTTTAAAATGGCATTTCTTCTTTAAATTGTCTGCCGACACTGGCTCGTGGAAACTGAGATTCACTTCTGCGACCTTCCCTCAAAGATGTCCTCCTACAGTAGTGAGCTCGCCCGCTATTGAAGTGTACCCTTTTTTTAATATAAGAACATCTAATTTTGGGGCCGACGCTGAACCAAAAGTGAATGTTCTCATTTTTTGCCATGTTCTTACATTACGCAGCACAGAACGTCAGAAAACCAATATGAACGTTACCATGAAACATGAAAAGGAACACTGCAAACTGTATCATGTCAAATTCCCATACCATAACGTCACGAGCACCCAACGAGGAAATTTCATTAAAAAGTTTAAAAAATTGTTTCTTGCGTTCGCAGATCGTTCTTTTACTTTCTCAACGGGCATTTAGGTGGGCTATAGGCGACCTGATCTTTTCGGATTTCTTAGCTGAATACTGCTAGAGGCAGAAAATTTTAGGGATCGAAAATTCATTTCCCCCTCCGAAATTGCTAACTGACCTTTATTCATCCTAAATCTCAAAATATTTACCTTTCAGAAAACCAGCAAAGGGACTAAGTTTCCGACTTCACGTTACGAAAGTTCGACGTAGCATTTAATCGAAGAAAACCTTAAAGAAATGACATCAAAGGAATCACAAAGCGATATCGCGGGTTTTTCCCTTTAAATTTTACATGGAATCTAGGCCTGTGAACTAGCAATAATTCTTTTGAAAAGAATATCATATTAGACATGTATAGAGGTTATTTTCAGGTAGTAACAAATATATCTTACGAACGAGCACGGTGAGTCATTGCTCTTACCGCGACAAAATAAAATCATATATCCAAGCCGCCATGTCATTTTCTTTTTATTGTCAGTTGGACATAAGCGTTATCTGGTAAACCTTGCCGTTAACAGTAAAAACAAGCTGCAAATGACGTCATCGATATCTTGACTAGTGAGGATGTGGAAAATAAAAGCCGCTAGAGTCCCGGAGGAATTTTCGTATGAACTTTAAGAGGGGCCTATTTTCCAATAAAACTTTTTTGCCTGTATCACATAAGGGTGTGGGCTAACGTGTAATTGATCTGCTTGTACTTGAACTGGTCATAGTAAAGTTGGTTTCGGTTATTTGTAGTCACCAGATGCTTTTACCCGACCAATACGTCCAAAAGACCATTTCCCATCGTTTTCTTTAAATTTTTTACTCATGGTACATGTATCTAAAAGACTTGATCCAGCTTTCAATTTGTAGTAATCTCTAACATGAAATTCTATCTTTTTTTTTTTCATAAGTTACCGACAATGGAAACGGAACTGTTGCTTTATTGTTCCTTCAACGCCTAGGGAATGAAACTGGACCGGAGGAGGACTTCCCAGGAACCGCTGTACAAGTCGAAACGAGCGGAAAGTTCAACATTTTCTTCGATAGAGTCCCATTCCCTGTTCCATGTGAGTATCATTTTGTGAGTTGTTAGGTTTTCAAGAAAGATGGGTATAATTTTCAACTGTGCTATCACAATATTGACCATAGCCAGAACATGGACAGTTAGAAAGAACAACTACGAGAAATACATTCCCACCTTTGATTATTTGAAATTCTATATCTATCACTGGCCGAATTTATACTAGAGACGAATAATCAGTCTAGACGGATTATCCAGCTCAGACGGATAATTCGACTCTAGTACTAGTAATAGTTGACACTACAGCTGTCCCCGTTCTGTATATTGTCGGTCAATAGTATTCTTGCTCGTTTTGTAGCTCTTTGAAATATACCGATTCGTAATGAAGATTTTCACACATCATTCATACCCATAGGTGAGATAAATACAGGAAACGCAAGGTTCCATGCACAGTTTCAACTCGATTTACACAGCTTTGATTAAAACATTCTCAGTTTCGAGAATAGTTTATTCTAAACCATACAGCCTGACCATAAGGAAAAGATTTAATTAGAAGTTGAATTTTTCGCTATTTCTCTTTCACTTTTTACATTCAGTTCATTTTATTTGCCGGAAAGTAAGCCTTAGAAATTAAAAGGACGTTTGATCGATTGACGCTCGCGTATTCTAGTCTTACATGAAACTTAATAACGGAAGGACATCTGTGAGCAGGGAATAAGTCAGCACGGAATTTGATTGTCGGCGAATTTCTGTAATCGTCCATCGTCCTGCTAGTGATAAGCTAGCCGTTGTTCACTCGTCTTGCTTGTTTGGGGCTGAGTCTTACTCCGGTCAAAGAGAGAGAAAGAGTGTCTGGCAAGGTTTCCAATATAAATCAAAGATTTGTGAACTCGTGTCTGGCAAACTCTCCAAGTATTTATATATACACATGCAGTTAAACGCACCTTATAACCTCATCTGCGCTTAACGAGTGTCTTTTGGTCCATAACTTTCAAAACAACTGCTCCACAGAATGTCACTGCGTAACGCAAAAGAGTATCGAAGTATGACTGCACAATAAATNGAATGTCACTGCGTAACGCAAAAGAGTATCGAAGTATGACTGCACAATAAATGTCACAAAATCTACCTGAGCGGTCCCTTCGGGATTTTCTGTCTTTACGTCATCCTAACCATTTCGTACTTGCGGGCGCAAAAAATAGAAACGTCATCATTACCAACCGATTCCTCGCGGCCCCTGTTCAAGCAAATCGAGATTTTTTCTATACTGACTGAATGACTGTATATTTCAGCTGTATTAAGTACTTTCCTTAATATACGCGCGAGTTACTAGAGTGCCTCCTCGGAATTTCGCCTTCTGGGCGAAATCCCTGCGGGGGCAATAAGTTCGGTGCTAAGACGAATTATGGAGCAAAATTCGTCTGAAGCTGATTCGTCCGTTAGCACGTCTTCAAGACGTCTCTAAATTTATATCTAGATGGAACATAGACGGTTTTTTGACGAAGTTTCCACACGAAAGGGACTGGTTTCTATATTTTCGCAACTCGGCTTCTCAACACCGACAACCTCGTCCCCAGGGTCTTCTCGCTTTCCAATATGGCGGCGACAGGAGAGAAGACCCTGGAACACAGCGAACTTAAACGATCGCTGATTGGTGCATTCCATTGCGCGTTCATACGTGCGTTCTCATTGGCTTATTCCTTCCAAAACAAAGATGGTTACCCTTTGAGGCCTTCTAATCCTGGAGACCCAGGGGCAGATAGTTGGGGCGAGGGAAAGTCTAAACAGGCGGAAAAAATTTTCCGCCCGTTGAGACTTTCCCTCGCCCCCACTATCTACCCCTGGGTCTCCCAGGATGAGAGCTTCGTAGAGGCAGAGAAGTGTTTTCTTCAGTGTTTGAGACCTAAAAGGTGGACAGAATTCAGGTCTGATTGGTCGGAAAACTGTGACTGTACCGTTGGAAGGCAAAGATTCCAAGATAGTGATATCTGAAATGGTAATCGCTGGGAATATTATAAGGCGTAGAGGTATTTCTGTTGCTCGTGTTATTTGGTTTGTGTGCTCTAAATTACTAAAGATTTGTTTCTTTAATTCCTGATTTGTCAAAAAATATTTCCAAGGCTTCAGCTTATCAATAAATTTAGCTGCCCGTTTGCAAAGGTTTGGTATTGTTCTGATTTTTGTTTTCTGTGAACAATAGCTGTATGCATAATATTATTAATGTTTGCGGTTATACGGAAATCGTGCATAATCTGTGCGTTGTCTCAGCAGATTTTTGTCTAGTGAAACATTTTTTTGTTCATTTGATCGTAACATGCATGGGCCCAACCTGGCCTTCTTTTAATTTTTTCCACTGTGATTTTGAAGGGGGATGAGGAGCGAGAGAGGCAGATGTCGAAACAAAACTAAAAATTGAAGCTTGCTGTAAATTGAAATCATTCCCACAATAAATGAATGTGTTCAGTCTGCTGGATATTTTGTCACCTTCCTCGGCGCATTATCAGCGCGTTTTATCAATAACTGATCGTTAAACAAAGGACTGTTCCCGTCTTCAATGCAGAAATATATAAGTTTAATTTGTGGTCTCTGCACAAACGAGAACTCGGCGTGATGAAGCAGGTCAAAAGATGTATATTCCTCGCTCTTAAAGCCTGCCTTTTCCTATTCATTATTCGTCCACTTCGGGACTGCGGGAGCAGTCGTTTCACTCGTCCTTCTTTGAGTATTCTTCGACTGCGGGATCACAGGAGCAGCAGATTCAACTTAGACTGAGACAGGTTCTGTTAACAGCTAAAAATCAGACGATCGGTGATGATACAAACTGAAAAAAAAAAGGTTACCATGTCCTTAGTTCCCAGTGCTCTTCGGTTCGCTTCATAGAGTAATCGCGCGTCGCACTGCCACATGTTCCCCCATCGCATGATAACAGTAATTAATGACGTCTTTAGAACGAATTTTTTTAAAATCTCTTCACATAATCTTCATAATGTATATAATAAGGTCTGAAACTTTCCTTGAGATTGATTCACTCAACATCTAAACCTATCCTACCAACCTGTCAAAAATCTGCGTTACAACATTCACTGTTTTGACGTTATGCTAATTTTTCCAAAATAATGCGCACTATACATACCTCCATGACTTGTACATTTTAGTTTGAATTTATCGTATCTTTTGAATGTAAACCATTGACAATACTCACACTGAAATGTACTAGTCATGGATATATGTATTATCCGCAGGTAATTTGGAAAAATTAACATAACGTCAAAATAGTGAATGTTGTAGCGCGGATTTTTGACCGGTTTGTAGGATAGGTTTGTCTTGAAATTTCAAGATGTTCCCGTGAATCAATCTTAATGAAAGTTTCAGACCTTATTATATACATTATCAAGATTATGTGAAGAGATTTTTTTAAAAATTCGTTTGAGTCGTTTCAGAGATATACAAAAAAGCACTAAAAGTCCAAATTTTAAATGAAGTTGCACTTATACAGGTGGTGAGAAAACGGGTTAGTCTTTAAGATCACAAGAACGAAAATACACCAAAATTTTCTAGCATCGAAATATGATGTTAAGAAGCATTCTGACGCTACTTAAGGATAATTTGAGTCATTTATAACGTTTTCATTAAATAATCTATCACGGCTTTTGAAAATTTAAGGTTTGAAATATCGTTTTAGTCGAATTCAAACATACGGACTTTTTTACTTCTTACGGAGATTATTTGCTAAACACCAAACTGTAAGTTCTTAGTGTTGGATTTTCATTAGCTAGTCTAGATCGCACAAAATTTGGCGTTTATCAATTTCAAAGTATTTGATTATTGTTGTCACAGTACTATCGATTTTACTAAAACCTGCATTTTGACAAATTTCAATCTATAGTCAATCATTGGTGAAAATTTTGTAGCGATCAGACAAGGATAAAATCACTTTTAAAGCGATTGAAAAATATTGGTATGGCCTCTGAAAAACTATATCGAAACACCTTAAGTGAAGATTTTCCATCCCTGGGCATTGTTACCGAAAGAATGCGCTACCCCAGAGACACCAGTCCAAAATGTGTCACCGATTTCTATCTTGAGTAATTTTTTTCTCTAGCCCATTCCAGAGGCAAGTTTAAATCCCTTTCGTCGAAATTGCTCGTACCATTTTCTCCACACTGTTGCCATACCAGTTAACGGGGCTTACCGATTTTATTCTCTTCTACCAGACTGGGTGATTAGCCTTGGACCTGAGAAAGACGGTCTTTACGAGTACTCCGTGGCTACTGACCCTCGCAAGCTGGGACTATATGTGCTTGCAAGAAACGTGGAGACCTTCAGGCTGGATTATGAAGAGGAGGTCTTGGAATTTGTAAAGGAACAAGGCTTCACTGAGCCCAGCAATAAACCCATAGCTATCCCTCAAAACGACAAGTGTCTGTATCCCTACTAAAACTCTTAATCACGAGCCGTCCGAGTTGTAAAACAACAACTCTAAGGGAGAAATGACGGCACTTGAGGTTGCTATTCCCTAGTATGATTTAAATGTTAGTCAAAATTTGTAGTGCTAAGCCAAATGGAGCCAATAAAATATGGAGAGGTTATTGAATTTCCTGTTTTTTTATGCCTTATTACTTGCGCTCGGAGGGCAGCGAGTTAAGGAATGCTGGCCGTTTCTTTTTCTTTTTTTTCTCCTTTTTTTTCCGTGTTTGTGTCGCGAATGAGCAGTTAGGTCCTTTTAGCTGTGGTAATCAAGGTCAGTCAATACAATGGGTTTTGTTTTTGTGACCACAAAACGCATGCGTGGGCTCGTAGCGGTCAGCGTAGGGTGAAGTAGACCCGAAGAGTCGGGATTTCCGATCGTCTCAGTGACGTCATTTTCCGATTTTCCGATCGTGCTCTGACAAAGCAACAAAGATGGCGCTACAAAGCGGCTGACATTATATATGGAATGCTCTTTACTCTGCTTTATTTGTGTAACCTTTCTTAGAAGAAGCATTACATATTTTATAATCGCTGAGACGGGCGAACAACCACATCTAATCAGCGGGTGAACAAAATCATGTCTGTCTCAAAGAAATACTGTCCTACCTCACTCGATGTTACTCGACTCAGTAGCGGACAATAAATAACATACGGTGAGGACAATTACTTTGCGGTAGGATTTCCGCTCAGCCCCTTACATTTCTTACGCATACATGTTTCGGCTCTATTCATATAACCTATTTGTGTGAAATAGCTTGAGATTCCTGCATAAGTAATATATGTGTGGGGTTATGTGGAAATTAATGTTGAATCTTACCACCTTTCCTGTTAACTTTATTAAATGGAAAGTTACAAGAAGCCCTGTTATGGCTAGTAAACAATAAAACAGAACAGAGGATGTTATTGTTGTGCAAGGTAAAAAAA